AAAGCAGTATAAAAACCGGAATGTCCAACTGATAAGGCTGAAAATTGTTTCACCTGTTATTTACAGTAAGATAAATACATTCACCAACTTTTATTAAAATAAAACCATTTAAACTGGGTGCTCGGATTTATATGTCACTTAGTATAGCTATGTTTGAACCTAGGATGCATCAGGGATAGCAGTTGCGAAGGCCCTTGTGCGTGCCGAAAACTATTCCTGTGAGACTAATGAATCTCAGTCATTACTCTGTGTCATTGAAGAAGGGCTCGGAGCTTGGACGCTGCTGTACAGCTTCTGCAATCATTCGAAATATGCCAGCTGTGGAAAACTCAGGGGTCATTCCTAAGGAACTGGAAGAACTGATATCGTCATCAGGCAGGTAATTAAAACCAGACCAATGACAGAAACTGAAACATCTAATACATAGATATCGGGATGTATTCGATACTGGACAGAAAGGAAGAACCAATATAGTCCAGCACAAGATCGATACGGAAAATGCTTGCCCTTTCAGGCAGACAGCAAGAAGGCTCCCACTAGCTAAAAGAGAGGAGGCTGACAAGATCATAGTCAGTATGGCCAACGAGGGAATCATTGAACCGTCTATCAGTCGATGAGCCTCTATGATAGCCGACGCTTCAGTAAAGAGATGGATCTGTCGATTTGGTGTACCTTTGGAGTTGCATTCGGACCAAGTGCGCCATTTCGAGTCAAATCTGTTCTAAAATATCTGTCAAATCCTTGAGATTAATAAGACCAGGACTACTGCCTTTCACCCGCAGTCAGATGGAATGGTGGGGCGCACGAATAGGACCATTAACCATTATTTGGCTAATGTCGTCTCTAGCCATCAAACAGACTGAGATAGTTTTCTTCACCTCTTCTTATTGGCAGAAAGTACCACGAGGTAAAGCCCAAATTGTACATTTCAACCGACTTACACCTTATCATGGAAACAACGAAGATGCGGCAGCGCGGCAGATCCAACCAGAACCGGACATGACATTTGACCAATCTATGGCTCCTAAGCTAATGGCCATAAGAGTCGGTATGGAGTGACATGTGAAGTACAGCAAGATATGTTTACCACTTCACCAGAGCATGACCTGGCACACTGTGTGGCTCCAGACTTGCGAATGTTGAGAGGTATACTGCCGTGCTTAGCAGAAACGCCGTATATACAAAAAAATTGAAAAATGAGTTTTTTACATATTCTTGCTTGAATTCATGTTTTCTATATATAGAACTTAGCAAAAATGCCGTTTGAAGCACCTTAACCATAAAACAACATAACTATTTTGCAGTAACTAACAAAAATTTGGTTGCATGCTCATTAAAACTGCCGTATCTAACATTATTTAGCATAAATGCAACATCTTCCGGTCAGATTCTGCGTTTTTGCTAAGTACATGTGAATTGCCGCGTTCCTCCCAAGTACAGGGTGGGGCAAAAGTCACGAAGGGATTTGAAAAATTAATAACTTTTTTAAATTTATTTTGTTTTCATTTTTTTTTTCAGGACCGTGTAAAATAAATCCTGGAGATTAATTATGGAGCGTTACAACCTCAATCAACGAACCAAACTTATAGAATTTTATTTTGAATATCACCATTCAATAATTCAAACTCAACGAGCATATCGTCGTCATTTCAATTTGCGGAATTCGCCCTCTGAATCAATGATTCGACGCTTAGTGGCACGATTTCAGCAACAAGGCACAGTTATGGATCTCCCACGAAGCGGAAGGCCACGTTCCGCAAGAAATGAAGGGAACATTCAACGCGTTCAGGAGAGTGTTCAGGAGAATCCGGAAACCTCAACCCGAAGACGTTCTGCTGAGCTGCAGATGTCTCAAAGGTCTTTACGCAGAATATTAAGAGGAAATTTACATCTGTTTCCATATAAAGTGCAGCTAGTGCAAGAACTAAAACCAGCAGATTTTCAAGAACGACTAACTTATGCAGTTCGCTTGCAAAGAATGGCTCGAGAAGATAATGAATTTATTCATTCTCTGATCATGAGCGATGAAGCCCATTTTCATTTGAATGGCTTCGTAAATAAGCAGAACTGCAGAATATGGGGTACCGAGAACCCAAGGGTGGTTCATCAAAGGCAATTACATCCGCTTAAATGTACAGTATGGTGAGCAGTTACGTCTCAACGAATTATTGGACCATTCTTCTTCGAAGACCACGATGGGAATGCTGTATCTGTAGATGGCGACCGATATCGTGATATGATTCAAAATTTCTTAAGACCAGCTCTTGCTGACAATCAAACGATGACTTTCCAACAAGATGGAGCCACTGCGCATACTGCTCGAGCCACTATGCACCTTCTAAGGCAGATTTTTGGCGAACGTTTAATTTCGAGAAATTCAGGATTCAATTGGCCCGCCCGCTCGCCGGACTTAACTGCCCCTGATTATTTCCTTTGGGGATATCTGAAAGGAAAAGTGTATATTAATAAACCCACAACCCTGCAGCAACTAAAAGATAATATTCGAGCAGAAGTAAGTGCTTTGGGGCCAGATATTCTGACTCGGGTAATGGAAAATGCTCTTGCAAGAGCTGCACTTTGCGAGGCTGAAAATGGCGGTCATTTGCGTGATGTAATCTTTCACACTTAAATTGTAAACAAACTCCAAACATTGCATTTTAGTTTTGTGTTAGGGAAAAAAATTAAAATTAAAATTTAAAAACGTTATTAATTTTTCAAATCCCTTCGCGACTTTTGCCCCACCCTGTACAAGTCGTGTCTTGACTGTTATTAATTATTATGATGATGCATTAAAAACGTGGTCAGTTGTTTGTTTTGGTCCGTGCGGATTGCAGTGTTTTGTTGAGGGTTGTTTTATTATGTCCAAAAGAACGAAACTAATTTTGGATCTAGCCATGGGTGCTACATACCAAGCTCCAGCTGTTATTTCTGAGTTACCTACACAAACCATTCTATTTGACATAAAAACTCAATTTTTATGATTTTTAGATTGCTAAGGATGCTAATCTTACAAAAGCTGGAACTAAACGCAAAAGAAAAAAATCACCGAGAGTTTGTTAAGCAGGAAAAAGAAAAAAGCCGAATTAATAAAAGCGCTGTCGGTCCTTCGTGTAATAAGGAAAAATGTAAAATTAGATGTTCAGTACTTTTTTCTGAGGATCACAGACGTGAAATCCATAACCAGTTTTGGGAACTATCTCATGCAGAAAGAAGATCATTTGTTTTAAGCTCTTGCGAACGTTTGGAAATTAAGCGTCGAACAACAGAAAATAATGCTGAATCACATGTTAGACATAATGTTTTCAAATACACCTTCAAAGACAGCCTGTGGTAAGAAAACATGTGTGTAAACACTTTTATTTGACCATTCTCGGATACAACCCAACGAATGATCGATTCATTTATGAAGTTCTATCAAAAACGCCAAAAGGAATCATAGTACCGTTAGAAGACCAACGAGGGAAAAGTCGTTCAGCAAACTTTATTCAAAAAATGAGTTAGATGCACATATTGAGTCTTATAATCCAGTTAGTTCACATTACAGACGTGCACATGCACCAAATGTTCGATATCTTCCCAGCGATATAACTGTCAGAAGCATGCATGCTGATTTTTTAGAAACATTTCCTAATATTAAGGTGTCGTATAATATATATAGATGTCAGGTTGAAAAGAAAAATATATCTTTTGCTAGACTTGGCAATGAAGAATGTGAAACTGTGTGAGTATGAAGCTTTATGAGCATAATGAAGATAGTCTTCAACCTGGATGTGAAACCTGCACGATTTGGAAATATCACATTGATATGGCTAAAGAGTCACGAGAAAAGTACCGACAACAAGCGCATGATAATGAAAAAAGTAACTCCTATTTTTCTGCTAACTTAAAGAAAGTGATAATGTTGCCAAGATTAGAGACATTTAAAAGGGTCTTATTTATCCAAAGGCTTTCAGTTTATAATGAGAGCTTCGTTCCACTGGGGAAAAAGAGTCTGGCAAAACCTTTTGCAGTACTGTGGCATGAAGGTATAAGCGGAAGAGAGCAAGATGATGTTACAAGTGCATTTTATGCATTTTTTAAAAAACAAGGAGACTTAGAAAAAAACACTGTTACGCTTGATAACTGCTCAAGCTAAAACAAAAATTGGTGCTTATTAAGTTTCCTTGTTTTCATTATAAATTCAAGTGAAATAAGTGCTGAAGAAATTGTCATTAATTATTTTGAACCAGGGCGTACATATATGTCAGCAGACCATTTTTATCATCAAGAGGAGCTGTCCTTAAAGAAACAAGGAAAAACGTATGATTTTCCAGATTTTGTTAATGCTGTATCCCAAACAAATAAGGGAGCAGTAGAAATCAAAAACATGTCTTTTTCAGATTTCTATTCTTTCAAATCTTTCGTTTCACAACAAAAATTAAAGAAACAAATGAATCGAATTTATCTCAAAGACATTGTTCAGATTACCGCTCGCAGAGGGCAATATTATCTTCTTTTCAAAACCTCACATTCGGAATGGGAGCCGAATAATTGTTTAGATTTTCTACAGTTTAAAGCAACCAAGCCCAATGGTATGAAATTGCCGGAGCCGTTACATAAGCCTCGCGGTTTTAATTCAGAAAAAAAGGAAAACATTTTAAAAGTGTTGAATACAATAATGCCTGAAAACAGAAAAGATTTTTGGCGAAATATACCTGCTAGAGCTGATTCCAATTAGTGTTGTTCTTTGGTATTTAGCGCATATCATTATGAATATTTGTATTTTTGTTTTTAGTTTGTAAGAGAATCAAAACAAAAAGTCTGTTTTTAAATATATCGAGAGTATAATTCTATCTGTCACAAATTATTGGAAAGTAATTAGCAGAAACACTTAGCAAAAACGCAGTACCGCAATAATCTCAAGCAACATGTGACTTTCATTATACTTCTTGCTTAAGAGAAATGCAGTATCTGGCTTGAAAATAAAACCAGTCATTTTTTTTCTACATTTTTGTGAAAATATGTTTTCTCAATTGAATATACTGGGTTATGACAATAGAAGGCAGCGAAAGTATTTGAACTCTCTTACGGCTCTGAAAAAAAGAAAAAACATGTTTTCCTCCATGCTTTATTTTTTGCAGATGCGGTGTTATCGCTAAGCACGGCAGTATAGCAAAGGTGTTTCTTAGGAGGTTTGGAAGTGTGCACGAGCTGCGACAATCTAACCCGGAAGTCGGAGAAGTACTTCAGATAACTGAAAAGGGTACCAACCGAAAGATCTTCTATCTGGTTACCAAGAAAGCTTCGTATCCGAAACCGAAATACTAGGATGTCTGGAACGCTTTGTGTTCTCTTAGAGAAGTGTTGCTTGCCGAGGACCTGAGAAAAATGGCAGTACCTAAGCTGGCATGTGCACTGGACAACCTAGACTGGAGAATCATCCGAAGCATGCTTGGGGTGGTCTTCCGGTACACAGGCATTCGATTTCTGGTATGTTGTCGCAGTCCTAGACGGCTACCTCCTGGAAAGAGTGTGGATTGTTACTTCTTCAGGAACTCATAATGCAAGAAAGGGCAGCCGTGCCGATATCGACATCCACCGCCAGTAAGAGCATATCGGGACGGAATGACTTTAGGCAGAGGGCATAGTAACAAGAATAAATAGCCCTTCGCGCCATCTATTGGGGACCGCACCAGACTTTCCTATTCGCCAGCTGCTTCATGGCCGATCTCTGTTGGGAACCGAGCCAGTCTCTTTCGATGGGGACATGTGTTGAGCACCGTGCCAGGAACTCACCTTCTAGATCGACGCGCGAAGTGACCTCTACGATTTTGGAAGGCCGCTATCTTATCGACCCAATGATGCGGACTATATAACTCGATGGCCGGGAGAGGGAAGCAGACTAGAGTAGAGCAGAGTGGAGTATAGCACAGTTAATGGCGCGGCACAAGAATTAGTCAGACATAAATAGTGGTGTACGTAAATGTTCTGTCTAGTCAAGATAAATAAATTAGTACATTTCTTTTTGTGGAATCCAGTGATTTGGTCCACACCCAAGAAAACCCAGAAAAATGCTTCAATACTAATTGCTGTTTCCCTTTAAAGCACAACTCAGGTTGTACAAGAGAGAATTATATCATTAAAATATTAACGAAAAAAGTGAATAGGGAGCATGTTTGCCTCTTATTTAAGTTATTTATTGTTCTGCCTTTTTGCGAAATATTAATTATATGGTTTTTAATAGCTTTTGGAAGAGCGCGGATTGACAACTAATGGCTAAGCACCTACCTAATTTAATGTCTGTGTATAAAAAAAATAAAAATTTTATTGTTTGTGAACTATTTATAAAATAAAAAATTATAATGTTTACAAATAATTATGAGTAACATTCTAAAAAAAAAATCATAAACTGAATGTATTTCTTATAAACGTATAATTTACATTGTTTTACGAAAATCTTTGGGCCGCGATATGTCAAATGACGTTGATTTAGATTTCTATAAATTATTAGTATTAAAATGTATTGATTGCTTCTACACCTCGTGATACGTCGATTTACATATAAAATATCTTGTCTAATTTGTATATTAGTCTACTTAGTGCCACTAAGGATTTTGATAAATTTTAGACAAATGTATGCCTTTTATAGGTTGCCATAACATGATTCTTATTAGATACGACATATTTTCATGTAAATATAATTATTGTAAAGTATAACCTGGAATGTTGAACTGCTTATACTGCTCTAGATGGAAACACTGAAAACAAGAATATCACAGTTCACAGTAGTTTGATTCAAATAAGTTACTGGAAGATTGTCAAAATTATGGTTAATGCTTGTAACATTTACATGAGTAAGTGTTGAAACCATGTCTTTAATATTGAATTCAGTTTTCAGAATACTGTGACATATGCTCTCTTGAGGTAGGTTGATGCTCTCTTCAAGGTCTTCTAGCTCTTCTAATACATTTGCTTTAATATTCATGAATATTAATATTATAACTGCCTAAAGTTAATAGAACTGTGAAGAACTTCAGGCGACTGTTGCACAATGTCGACATTCTAGGAGGCGAGAAGTCATGAGTTATATCAGCCATTCCTGCTGACATGCTAGGAATAATGCTGACCATGCCACTAATTTCCCAGAAGACCTAGAGTTGACTTTATTGTTCTCAACACATTTTGCAGTAAGTCAGATTTAAGCCTTTGTACTGTTAACATCATAATAATATTGTAATGATTTTGTAAAAGTACATTTCTGAGTTTGTATTTTCGAAAAATAAACTTTTTTAAAAAGCGATCTTGAGGCATCGATCTTATAACTGGCGCAGTCATCCAGTAGAATATAGAATAGGTATAGTCTAGTCTTTTATGGTCTACTCTAGTGTCTAAATTCTGTACCAGTCCGGAGTCCGCAACAAAAATTGGCTGAGAAGTGAACAAGCGAAGTTTTGTTGATCTAGTTGGTATTAACGCTATTTTATGTTTTATTGATTTTTTATTTTCCACGCATAAGTCAGAAGATCAATTTTTGTTTGTTTCTAATTTTTATAGGTACTATAAAAAAATCGTGTCTAAAATAATGACAGACGGAAAAATGGAAATTTAATATAATTTCAATTACGAAGTGGTTGGTCCATACTCCTGCTATCATTATCATCTATGTCTATTTTGTCTCGGACGTCCCTGTACATAAACACTTCAGTGCATTTCGTTCGTCCGAGATGGCAAATTATATATTTAGGTTTTGAAAATTGCGTGAATTTAAGAAATCTTATTTTCCAAACAGTAAAGGTTCTTTGTTATGAGATACGTGAATGCGTGGTGTTATTACAAAGATGATTCTAGATTGTGGAGAGCCGCGGGACTGTAAGCGCGTTCAGATATAATTAAGGTAATAAAGTAGTCTACACCCGAGCCATACAAAGACAATGTAGGATTGGCACGTACCTGGGTGTTCCAGTCGACTGGTCTGGAGAAGCTCCTCTCTCTTCACCACATTTGCCATAGCGGATATACTGTACCCGGTTTTTCCGATCTTTACGAGATTGACCTCACTAAATCTTCTTCTTGTGCCCATGTTTGACTTGTATGCGCACGTGCCAAAGGGTTTGAATTTGTATGGCTTTTGAGTTCAAATAATGAAGTATGTTTTAGAACCTGGATGAACATTTCCTCCCACTTAAAACGGAGTTTTATATAAAGTTTATTCAGTACAAGATAATGACAACAAAGTATCGAAAATATATGATTTGAATTAAGTGTATGATTAGATATAAACATGTATACGAGTAGACGAAGAATACGATTGAATTGAATAAATGAGTATTTGTAACTCAGTGGTTACAAAAAAAAAAAAATCGAAAACACTCACACGACAGAACTAAGGAAAATTATGTTATATGATTAAATATTATTTCACTATGGGTAAAGGACAAAGGTTTACCACCGGCCGCGTGAGAGGCACATGTTGTGTTCTTAGTGTAACAACCCTGACATGATTGACATGACCAGGATGAACTTCCATAACGCGTCCCAACAACCAACGCAGTGGAGGCGTTGACTCATCTTTGATTATTACTAAGGAACCTAGTTTAATTTCCTTTGATGGGTCGTTCCACTTACAACGTTGCTGGAGAGTGTTGACATATTCGAGTTTCCAACGTTTCCAGAAATCTGAATGTAATCTCTGAATGGGTCGCCAACGACTAAGATTGTTTTGTTTAAGGGGTGATAAATCAGGGTCTGGGAATGAATTTAAAGGTTCTGTGGTTAAGAAATGCCCTGGGGTAAGTGGTGCTAAATCATTGGGGTCTGAACTTTGTTTACAAAGGGGGCGAGAATTTAGTAATGCTTCTATTTGAGTGAGAAAGGTATATACTCATAGTTCTTCGAAGGTTAGTATTTGGTCTCCGATGACTTGATATAACGTAAATGGGTTTTATTGGATGTAACTCCCGCGTCGGCTAAACCGTTAAGATGGGGAGCTCCTGGACTATTTAAATTCCATTTGATTTTTAAGCTTTCTGCCGCAGACTTAGAGAGATTGTGAAGCTCTCTAATAGCTCCGACGAATATAGAGCCCTGATCACTAGTGATCTGTACACAAGTGCCCCGTCTGGCTTCAAAACGTCTTAACGCAGCAATACACGCTTCTGTGGTTAAACTTGAAACAAGTTCGATATGGATTGCCTTAACACAAGTATCAACAAAGACGGCTATGTAGGATTTTAAGGCTGGCGCACCGCGACGCCGCTGTCCTACAAAGGTTTCTATTGGACCTGCATAGTCTAGGCATACGTGGGAGAAACATTTTAATTGTGAGGTTCGAAAATATGGTAGATCCAACATGAAGGGGGTATACGTTTTGGGTTTTTGGCGAAAACATCGAATGCATTATGACAAGACCTTCTGGATAGATCTGCGCGAAGATAAAACCCAAAATTTCTGACGAATTAGGTATTGAATCGTGTTTAGTCCTGGATGTAAATGTTCCCTATGTGTTTGCTCAATGATAAGGTCTGTTAATCTATGATTTTTAGGCAGCAATACAGGATGTTTTGCATCGAAGGAAAGCTCAGAATTCCTTAAACGTCCGCTCACTCTAATTGAATCGGACTCGTCTAAAAAGAGCGATAGCTTCCGTAACGGCTTATGCAATAATTGATTGATTTTAATTTTCAAAATTATATCTGAAAAACAGCCTTTCTATATTATATTTTCACCAAAATTAATAATGCTCTGTGTAGTTCAAAGGGATCTGAAATGGAACTTATTGTATCAGTTTTGACACGAATTACCCGGATAAGACGACAAATAATTTTTGGAATCGTATTTAAACTGGATAAGCTATTTAGTAATCGATGAAAAAAGTCTTCTGTTTGAATTTCGTCTATAAGAACCACTGTATTATTTGCCTTTTTTGCCTTAACGACATCATCTAGTCTGACATCAGAACTTTCGTCGATAAACCTTTTGATTTTCCATTTGGTAGTAGGCAAAGTTATCCAATGTGGACCATGGAACCAAAGGGGGTGTGTTGGTAGAGAAGTGGACTGTATTTTTTTTCGGCTTTTATTTTACTTTTACAATCCTAGCTGGTATTATTTGAATAACAATAATTGTTTTGTACGGCGTCGTGTCGTGTGTCGACGGCTCGATCAAGTCATCTTGCAATATGGCGGCCACCCCTTCCTCTTCTCCTCGTCGGCGTTGCCACGTTGTGGCTGTTTTACGTGATCTGGCGGAAAGGAGCTCAACATAACTCCCCACCTTGAAGGGCCAGGCCTTCAACATCTTAGTCGTGGATGGGTAAAGGACATAGTTTGGAAAATGCCCTTTTGACTTCACCACGCTGTGTCTTCAACGTAGCCACTCTAGAAACACCATGAACGTCTCTGGACACAGATAACACTCGACCAAGCATCCACTTCACTGGTGGGATGTTATCTTCTTTAATCAGAACCAACATTCCTGGTTCCAGCACCCGTTGATCATCTGTAGTCCATTTCTTTCTGCGCTGCAACTCTGCCACGTATTCCACGTTCCATCGTTTCCAAAAATGCTGC